CCTTTCTTATTGTTTCCTCAGAGTTCTCAACTCTTACACTCTCATTTTTATTTTACTGCTATTATAGCAAACTCCTTTACTTATTTGTTATAAAGTGGTTTTGGTTGATTTTTTGGTTTGTTTTGGTTTTTCAAGACAGGGTTTCTCTGTATAATGATCCTGGATGTCCTGGAACTCACTCTGTAGATCATGCTGGCTCTGAACTCAGAGATCCACCTGCCTCTGCCTTCCAAGTGCTGAGATTAAAGGCATGTTCCACCACATCCTGCTTTGGTTCCCATTTTTAAGGCTTCGATTAGTCACACCAAAGTAGACATGGCAGTTATTTATAATTTAAAGTTATGTTATAGCACGTCACTTTCCAGATTGTACATGACTGCATTTTTTAAAAATCCACTCCAATGTTCATCTTGACTAAGTTACTGTCCCAAGTTGTAGACTCTTAATTTGCTACCAAGTTCCTATTTCAGAGGATGTGCTGAGGCCCATGAATTCTCTATCCTTCCCAACTCTGGCACTTACAATTCAAGTGGAAAACTTATCAGTGTAGAGAACAACAAAAGTAGATCTCACACCTTTCTCAATGTTAGTAGCTTGAAAATAAAGCAATATATTTGGTATTTCCAGAAGACAATTTTATTATTTATTTTTCATTTGTAAACTACTCAGCCCCATCATGGCAACCAATCTATTTCAAGATGATTTCATTCCCTGGAACACAAAACTATGCTGGATTGAGAACTACTCTGCAGAATTATTAAGAGCACAGAATTCATATATCATCACCACTATCAAAGTTTAGAACCTAGGTAAATGAAACATTTGTTGTATTTGCTGAATGTCTATGAATAAACCCTTTGTTTTGAAACCTGAGCCAATGAAACATTTGTCCTATTTCCTGTTGGTGTCTACTAATAATCCCTTGTTTTAGAACTTGAGCCAAAGAAACACTTGTGGTATCTGCTATTAATGCCCACTATGTAATTCCTTATTTTAGATGTGGCCTTATGTCCCCACTAGAATGCAACTTCCCCCGGTCAACCACCTGACATAGTTTACACACTCAATATTCATTCACCAAATAATGTCACCTGTCGCTCTTCAACATCAAAACCGTTGAAGATAGAACAAGATGCTGATTAAGTTGATTAAGACTATTCTGCTAACCTAGTCTTCTGTCCAGAGGTAGTAAATAGGCTCTTTAGATGTAAGATCACCACGGGGTTAACACAGAACTTGTATTTGTTAACTGCCAGTTCTTAATCAGCTCTTCGGGTTTCTCCGTGTCTCTCCTATCTTGTTTGTTTGTTTTCCAGACAGGGTTTCTCTGTATTGCTTTGGAGCCTGTCCTGCACTCGCTCTGTAGACCAGGCTGGCCTTGAATTCACAGAGATCCGCCTGTAGAAAAGGCTTGCGTCACCAACGCCCAGCGTCTCTCCAATGTTTAACTACTTTAATTCTCTAAGATTAAGACCTAGGAAGGAACTTTCTATCCATACTGACTTGTACATTTAGCCTTGAAATTTTGGTTTCTTTGCATCCCCAATGTCATTATTACTAATAGGTTTAATAGAATACACACCATCCGCAGCCATCTTGACAAGCTGGCTGATGTCTAGATATCTACCACTTTCCACAAAATAGCTGGTTAGATACACTCAGCCAATTTTAACCTAGGTCAGTGTGACTACACTCAACCCCCACACTAAAATCCTGATTTTTAACTACTTAGTTTTCTAGTACAAGCCAGCTCTCTAAAACTGCCATCAATTTGAAGTATTTCAATCTCCAGTACCATCCACTCCCTATTTCCTGAGTATGTCACCAAAATACATACTAACATTCATACAATGCTTACATGTTTTATGAATTACCTATATCTCTATTAAAATAAAAACTCTACTTGGGCAGAAATTAACCATTGTATCCTCAGAATCAAAGTATGTACTAACCACCTAACTTCAATAAGTCTATGATAGATGCATGAACAATGGGTCATTGATTTGTAGTATTATCTCTACATCACAATATTCTACACTTCTATAAAATCTTAAATCCTTGCCTTCATTCAGACTGATTTATTAATATTAAATGTTGGTTATGTTAAAACTTGATTGATGTTATGATTCAGTATTGAAGTGAATACTTTTAATTTCTTCTACAACTAAATCAGCTAATGATCCATAACTTTTGATTTAAAAGTATAACCAGCATTATTTCTTTCAAGCCTCTTCCCTGCATTATAAACTGGAGAGACTATCTAGACAAAATTTAAACCACAGACAGTAATAAAAGCTTACAAGGAGGGAAGATTTTATGCTAATCCTTAAAGAATGAGTGAACTGGACTCATCTAAAATAACATAGTAGTAATAACAATCTACTTTTCCCAGTAGCACTTAACACAGCTCGCCCAGACTTTAACTTTTCCTGACTAGTTTTTATGTCAACCTGACACAAAACCAATATTTAACCAAAATCCCAAATGAGAAAATAGGAAAAGTATTGAAAATTCTAACTTAAAAACATAAGGTATGGAATCCTGAGTAAAATTAAGTCTTTTTGTTACTGCTTTTGTGACCTTCACAAATTACCAGATGTTATACTTTGTAATCTATAAAATGGTGGTCATCTCAATAACTGCACTGTTATGAAGATTAAATAGTCCTTAAAAAATCCTTTGATGGATGCCAACTACTCAAAAAAGCAGCATAATTCACTGTATTACTTTAAAAGGGAACCAAATGTATAAATGTGAACGTCTGGAGATTTTAAACAGGGTTTTAAAAAACAAAGGAGATAAAAGAGCAATGTCCTAAACAAAAACAACTATAAACAGTGGATTATAGTGTTGAAAAATCTTTCCTGTCACCATGTCCCATGTTGTAGAGATTATATTAATGCAATAAACTGAGACAGTATACAGGAAGAAATTATTTTAATAGACTATATATATGTAGGAAATCTGAGATACACTAAACTTTTGTACTTAACAAAATTTTGGTTAAGTAGCTGACTTAAGATACACCAAAACCCAGTACACCTTTATTTTAGAGTAACAAAAATTCACGAGAAAATTTGTTACGTAATAAGTATTATAATACATAGGAATACACTTAATTAGAAAAGTACACAACTCACAAAATACATAAAATTTCACTGAATCTAAAAGATTATCTATACTTTCTTAATCGCACAATCTAGAAACTTGGAATTTCTTCTAGATTGTAAAGATGGCACTTGATGTAGGCAGCTTGGGGCCTTTCCTATTTGTCAAAACAGGGATGATGCTCGACACTTGTCATTATATGTGAAAAGTCTTACAGTATATTCTTACAACTCCATTTACCAATGACTGTACTTACCACAGAAGACATAATTTTATTAGTCAACAACTTGCTCTTCACATCGATTAACTGATTTGGCAATAGTCTCCAAGACCATTATATGACCTGCTTTTTTTTCCATCACTACTCCTTTCAGGATTCCTGTATGGCCACTACTAGCTCAGGCTCTTCCTGGCACCCTGCCATACTCCCTCTTGACTTTTGTCCACCTCATTCCAACTAATAGGCAGCATTTTCTCCTACAAAGTATGGTTGACTTCTCAAACATTGAAAGTATTTCCTCCAATGTTGTCTTTTTGTCTTGTTGTTTGTTGTTTTAAGCGAGGTCTATTCTGACTCTTCTTTTCCTGTCCTGATTATCATTATTCTAGAGTATTTTTTTCTCTTATCGTATTACGTTTTTATTACCAGAATGTTAAATCTGATGCTCATAGACTGATCCTCTAGTGACCAGAGCAGTGCCCATCCCAAAGCAGAAGCTCAAATAACTGTTTATTGAACAATCACGTGAAACAAGACACTCTCAGGTATCACTTTAGAAAAAGACTGGAGCAGTGAAAAAGCAGCCACAAAGAGAAAAAAGTGCAAACCAAGTTTAGAAGTCAACTGGCTCCACTCTCTCTATTCACGGTGCACTTCTTACTTATGTAGTGAATTCCAAGAGTACTTTTCTATTTAGACTCTTCCCCTATTCCCCTAATTTAATTAGATGGTGGCTTCTCGGCAGCCAACACCTCCTCGTCTTTGTTCAGGGTGGCAATCCCTAGTCCCTCATACGCATTTGTTTAAAACGGAATGAATGAACAGATGCATCAATGGGCACATTATCTACAAATTCTTCCGTGAATAACAACAGCACGATCATTTTTGGTCATCAGTTACATTTACTTTTATGTTTCAATAAAAGAATAAATCAAGTCTTTCAAAAGCAGCAACGCAAAAAAAAGTTTCCCGAATTCACAAACATTTCAACCCAAATGTCTTAGTCAAATGGGCAAGGACTCTCTTGTACGACCTAGCTTAGTTAACCCAAAAGCTTTTGAACTAACCCAGTCGCGGGCTCACTTCTTTAACACATCCATGCACACCACCTCTCATACAAAAAAAAAAAAAAAATCTCAACAATGCCATTTTTTGTTTGTTTGTAGCCACTTTAGTATACAAACTAACCAACCGTGCGGGGCAGGAACAGACACCTTCGCCTACACCCGTCACCGCAGACGAGGACACTGAGCTCAGGAGGGGGTGTGACAAATTCTAGGGTAAGGCCCCGGCTAACTTGCCACGGAATAGCGACTGCCACAGGTTCGGCCGTCTCTGGA